GAACTAGGGGGAATGGCTTTAAAGTTTACTGCTCCCTTTGCCTAGAACAAATAACCAAAAGACCTGGAACTTAATGAGCTGCTCTCATTTGATGCTTTTAAGGTGGATGTCAGAGGAGCTGGAGGCAGAAACATCTGGCTGTAGACATTCAGTGTAATACATTTACAAATGAAGTCGCTCTTTACAAAAATGAGCTGTTAATCTAGTAATTTCATGTCTTTCAATGTTCATGTTTTCTGATAATATATTTGTAAGAATGACTGCTAGCTGTTTGTCTTGGCCAGGAATTTCTTAAAAAAGAGATTTCTAATCTCTTGAGTTTTTTCTCCCGGTTAAAAAGAAATTAAAAAAGTTAAATACATTATACATCTGAGAATCGTGGCCTCTCTTGTACTTAGGTGAACCTGGCAACAATAATAGGAAAGCCTCCGCCTCTCCCCTTTAGAGCTCTTTCTCAACACACACTTTAGCCTTTAAATGCTGCAACAAATCTCCTCAATGGCCTACATTAGAAAAACCGGGGATAGGTTTCTCCTGCCACAACAGTCTGAAGATAAGACTGCTCATTGTGCCGTCACTGAGGGGCATACCAACCGGGGGGTATTAACCTTCACTCCCCTTTGAAGGTGTTTTGAAAATATTAGAAATGTATGTTATCTAGCTTCAGGGATAGAAAGACATTTAGCAAATCAAGCATTGATTTCTTCTTTAAAGGAGGCTAAAGAGTGAATGCTGAAATCCACTGGGAGATAACCTAACCAAACAAAGTGGCATTATTATAAGTAAACCAGGCTTTAGGTTTTTGTTCTTTGGTATGTTGCTGTCATTCTTCACACATTGATTATCAACGAGTCCACATAAATAAAGTTTAAAGGGATAATTTTTCTTAACATGAATGACCCCAGAGAGATACAATCAACTGATTGGATTAAGTCTTTACCGCTCTCAACCTGACATTGTTAAACTGACAGATTTCTGTAGTCCTATGATGGAGAGAGCACACGTTGGACCTTAACCACGGGCACAGTTTCATAAAGCTTCACCTCGGAGCGGCTGGTCCAGAGCCGGCAGACACTGAGACTCTACGCATGGAGCTGGCTGATCTACAACAGAAATTTAACCTGCTCATGGAGGAGAACAAAGAGCTGAGAAACAGGGTGAGCCTAGTGTTTCAGCTGAAATGCACAGATACCCAGAGCTGCTGGTGTTTGGGTCTCATTGTGTAACCTCTGACCTCTATGCCTTTTATGTCTCCTTCCAGCTGATGCAGTATGAACAGACGTCTGAGGATGGAGCAGCAGAGTAGAAAGGACACGTTTTGTCTTGCATGATGGGGAAATTAAAAAAGAAAACAACGTGAAACATGAAGAAAATTACTTCTTTTTTTTTTTTTTTAAAGAATATGTTGATGTTTTATTACATATAAGGGATGTACAGCTAACACAAAATCACTGTTATTTTTTGTTATATAACAGAAAAGCAACTTTTGCTTCTTAAGAAATAAAAAACAGTTTTTTTTTCAGCTTTGTGCATCAGTCCTTCTCTTAATGTTTTAAATTGACTTTGGTGACACACTCAGCCACTTCATTGAATTAAATAAATTAAGAAAATAATTGGGCTGCCATAGCCTAGCAGTCACAGCGGGTCTGAATCTGACCTCGGCCCTTTTCTGCACGTCATCCCCGACTCTCTCCTCTCAACATTTCCTGTCTCTCATACATTGGACAAAAAAGGCCCAAAAAGAAGAAACCTTGAATTAAATAACTATTACATATTTCTGTAGACCCATCCTAAGACATTTAAATTGATATAAACTGCGTAAAAAAAACACATTTTTGTACAAAAACAATTAGAGGTGGCTCGTGCCTGATGGGAAATTAAAGTCTCACATGTGACACGTTTTAAAAGTGAACATTCTTGTCCCTGTTGCCGCTTTTAGGCAGAGATATATTCAGCATTCATTTTCCATTGTGACAGACAGAGTGGAGTATTTTAGTGTTGAATGTTGCTGGAGAAGATTGAGATTGAGAGGTTGAATTATTTCATTATAGGTGATGTAAAAGTATCCTGTTGCATAACAACACTACATGACCTAACACAACTTTATAGATCTGTGAGCCTGTTTTCCATTCCCTGCTAATCATTGAAACAGTGCTACTGCACACTTCAAAATCATTAAAAGTCCAACAGACGTGGAAACTAAAGGAAAATAACAGTCTGTAGTGCCCTGATCACCAGCTAAATGAAGGAGTGGATTTATGCTTTCTTTTAAATATGTTTAGAAAAAGGCTGCTCTTTGGTGTCAAGAGGTTAATCTTCATAGCAAACAAAAACAAAGCTTCTGTGAGCTTGTTTGAATTTCTTTTAGTGAAATGCGTAACATGCATGTCTCATTGAGAGCTTCTGTTTCCACTCTGGCGAGCAGACAGTCTTTGGTTTATATCTGCAGGTCAGTTGGGGCTCGTCTGCTGCTGACGCTGCTTCCTGCCGACACTTTGCGCTTTGGGGACGAGGTGGTGGGGCTGTTGCTCTCCCGGCTGTGTCGAGACACTGAGCTTAACTCCCCTGCAGAGTCCGGGCTCTGAGACCTGCTCGGCCTCTTTATGTCTGATTTAGAGAGTATCCTTGCTCGGGGGCCGACACAGCTGCTCCGAAGCTTCATGCTGTCTCTCCCGTGGTACGAATCCCCGCTGTCTGAGCCGTTACCCTCCACCAGGGTGGAGCAGTTCCACGGCGGACTGACCCTCCGTGACTTCCTCGGAAAGCCGGTTGCACAGGAGGAGGTGTCTGCTACAGGGAGGGTGGGATACTCGGACCTCCCACAGTCCATGTCCTCATGTTGGGACAGTTCCTCTGCCTCCTCCTGTTTGTCTGCAGGAGGAGAACGCGTGTCGCTGCTCGTGTTGTTGGAGTTGCTGTTCTGCTCCGTGGGGCTCGGCACTCCCTCCTTCATGTCCTTGTGACTCTCCGGTTGTGCATTAGGGTCTCCTTGTATCGGGACGAATGCAGACGAGGCGTTAAGAAGAGGGTAGTTAGGTCCATTGCCCTGCTTCTCCAACAGTAATGTGTACCCACATGGGGCTGTAGGGATTGTAGTCTTGCGACTCACAGTTGTTCCCATGCCCACTTGATGCACGACTGAGTTCTTTTTGGACTTGCTGACGTATAAATCATCCATATCGTCCTTCAGATGAGGGTAGAAGTTCAGGATGCCCTTCTTGATCTTTTTGAATCCCAGGTGCATCATCTCAAGAAGGCTGAGGAAGAGGGAGATACAGGCGATCACTTGCATGAACATCATGAAAACCGTTTTCTCTGTCGGCCTGGAGACAAAGCAGTCCACCACATTTGGGCACGGCTCCCCTCACACTTGTAAAGCGGCCGCAGGCGGTGTCCGTAGAGGACGTACTGACCCATCATGAAGCTCACCTCCACCACAGAGCGGGTGACAATGTGGGCCACGTAAGTACACAGCAGAGAGCCCCTCAGTGGAGCTTTGTTGAGCCTGCCCTGCTCCAGCTGCCTGATCTCCTTCTCGATCCTCCTCCGCGCCTCCGCCAGCTCCACATCCACCGCCTCCAGCTCCCGACGCAGAGCCACCTTCTTGCAGTGTCGCTCCTTCTCCAGAGCTCGCAGCTGGTAGATGGCGTGTCCCATGTACACCAGGGAGGGCGAGGACACAAAGATCACCTGCAGCACCCAGTAGCGGATGAGGGAGATGGGGAAGGCCTGGTCGTAGCAGACGTTACGGCAGCCGGGCTGGTCCGTGTTGCAGACGAAGTCGGACTGCTCGTCATTCCAGACGTCCTCAGCTGCGACGCCCAGGACCAACATCCGGAATATGAACAGGATGGTCAGCCAGATCTTTCCCACCATGGTGGAGTGGATATGCACCTCCTCCAATATCCCTCCGAGGAAGTTCCAGTCTCCCATTTTTTACTTTGGCATTTCTACAACAAATGATAAAAAAAAAGTTGACATTTAAAAGTCTTACCAATCATAGAGCTACGTACTTTTAAAAAAAACTTAAAGAGTTAGCAAGATCTTAAAAGTTATGCACCTGAAAAAACATATAATGCTACTCCCCATGACACACAAGTGTACTCTACCTCGCTTACAGTGTAGAACAAGTCCATGTGAGTGAGTGTTAGAGAGAGGGGTGCAGTGCATTGTTGTCATTGTTAGGGTATCAAACAATCTGCCTCTGCCAATCCTGTGCAGACACACTCACTAGATATAGCCTGTGGAAGACATTGCTCTTTTGAAATGCGTGCAAAGGCAGAACACACGCAGGTATGTAGCTCCACAGACGTGTAGGACTTCCTGTTGATAGCCCTGTCTGAGTTTGTTTGTTATTCAGAGCATTTTATTGATTGACACCGTGGTGTAGTGGGGCCTAAAGAAGCGGGTATACTCTTTTTTTAATTTTATTTTTTTATCTGGACCAACCAGCAGAGGATAATCTACCTTTGTTATAAACAGTGACATGTAAGACTCCTGTTGAATATTTAGTAAGTGCGTATGAGCCAATTAGAGACAGAGCAGGGACGACGGAGGGTCATCTCTTCACCATACTAGAAAAAAAAATGCAGCATACCACAGATGTTGTCAGTCAATCATTGGTGTGAATCAGAGGGGATTTAGAAGTGCGTATCCTCTGTATACCTGCGTATAGCCTTCACTACACCACTTGATTGACTTTCAACGCATAAACATGCGACATAGATTTCCTGCCCCACTTTTAAAATCACTCAATCAGTAAAATATGATTTAATAGTATGAAAATGAGAATTAGTCTGGCTGTTTGTCTTTGTGTGGAGTATGAGAATAAATCAGTTCCTCTTGGAGCATCATAAGGTGAAAAGCTTGATCAGTGCTAAGAATTTCAGTCTGAACGATATAAATGTTTGGAGATTAAGCACAAGTTGGACTTGTGTTTCTTGTTAACATGAAACAAACTAAACAAGAAATGTGCTCGTCAGCGCCCTCAGGTGGACAGATCTAGAAATGCGCCGGTGTTGCAAGGTCACGTTTCTGTTTTATCGAATTTGAATTTGTTGTTGTTTTTCGTAGCTAAGCAAACAATTACTGATATGTGCCTGATTTTTAAAAATGCCCTCACAATTGTTGAATAAGCAGAGAGAAGCAGGTGAAGTCTACAGGAAATACTGACGAAAATCTAACCACAGGTAGAAAACTAAATGTTCATGTGCTACTCTTTGTTTGTGAAAACTTCTACAAGGTATTATCCCCACTCTGCACTTCTTCACATCAACACATGAACATTTCAATAAAACTAGTTTTTAAACTTCTACATACGACAAACTGTGGATAAACGTAAACGGCCTTATATAATACAACCTCAACCAAACACTACAATGGCTCTACACATTACTAAATCAATACATTGGTTACTGCATCATGAGGACCTGCTTGTTATGCTTCATGGTGATGTTTGAGATATTACTTTTAAAGTCAGATACTTGAACATTTCTACACTGTAGTTAAAAGGTCAAGAGATTTATCCAACTGCTCTGAATGTTTTTAACTGCAAAATGTTTTTTTCTCGGTTAGTACACAATCCTACAGAAGTCCCAAAAAGTTTGTTTTTTTTGCTTTACTTTTTGGGACTTCAGGGGCTCTGTACAATCCTACCCACTTACACACCTATGGATTTATGTACAAATCTAATGATGGTATGAAAGAGTTCTTATCATACAGTGTCAAGCATGACATCATTGAGGGGTCTCTGGCGACACATTACACATCATATCAAACAATCCATTAGAATCCAATAAATGTGAACCACACTTCACACTAATAAATGTTTAGCTGCTAGATAAAGCTTGCTGTGACTTTCTTTCCAAACTAAATGACTATAATTGTCATGAATTAATTTAAAAAGGAGGAAACTCACCTTTCATCTCTGATATGGAATTTGTCAGTGAAGGCCTTTTTTACGACGATGCTGCTGAAGCTTCTGAATACAATCCTACAAGCACATCTTTTATTCTCCTTTTTCCTCCTTAAAGAAAAGATTAAAAAAAACAAGTTCACCCCAGGGAGATATTTGTAGTCCACTCGGTTGGTAAAACAGGACAAAAACAAATGATCCCTGCTGGCTTTAGTTGTTCAGAAGTCATAACCAGAGAGAGGACAATCGATGCTGTTGCCGTGCTCCGTTGCCATTCGCCTCGCAGCAGTGTGATGGACCGACTGCCAGCTCGCTGCAGGTCATCATTGGGTGAAATGTGTTGCAGAGTATTCAATCGTTCGACGCCTGTTTGCTGTTGAACTCAGAGGACCCTGAACTTGTGTGATCCTTTAAATTCACAGGTCACAAACGGTGCAATGGGGTTGTCCTGTTATGATGGGAGTCAAATGTACACAATGAACAGCCTCTGCAGTGGATCAATGCTATGATTTAATATTACTAAAGTTGCCCAACACTCGTTTCAAACTGATTTCAGCAGCAGCCACAACAATGAGCACTTTCACTTGTGTTTGGTTTCTATGAGGGGTCTCCTACTTTTCTCTTGTCTATAACCGGAATCAGAAACGCAGAAGCCAGCACTTCAACAGAGCATGTTTCCTCACATCTGATGATATAGTAAGGTCATTTATGATTTAATTCAGTAGAAAGTTTACATTTAAAGGTCACATATTATGCAAAATACACTTCACCATGTTTCTCCAACTCTAATATGTGTCCCTAATCTGTCTACAAACCCCCCAATGATGAGAAAAGTCCATCCTCTCCATCTTTTCCCTGTTCCACTTTTCAGAAAATGTGTGCTCAAACAGGCCGTTTGGACATTTTCCCTTCATGACATCACAAAGGGCAGTAACCCCTCCCCCAGGTGGGTGACACTCCCACAGCTAGGTGTTTGTTCTGCCCTCTGAGTCTGCCTTCTCACCGTAAACAATAGGACTTGGAGCGAGAAAGCCAGAGCCGACCCCAGCCCTTCCAGAAAGGGGGCGTGGTCTTATTTAAACTGGTTGAAGAGGAGGAGGATATGTGACCTTTAAGGATGTGATGTTATTGTTTTAATCTGTGCTGCAGCTCAAACAAGCTTCTCCACACAGAACTCATCATCCCTTCGTGCTGCCGTTGTGTGCTCGTTTAATCAATGTTTTTTTGTTTTTTTTCTTCAATATGCGGATCAATAGGGCGCGTCCGATTTCACACATGGTTGCTTATTCACTGTTTCTAATTTCAGTTGTTCCTTCCAGCTACTGATCCATTAAAAGGAAATCAATGAGCGCGACTGGACTGAATTTAACTGTGCTGGTCTCTACTTTTCAGAGATAGTGAAACACTTAATGGACATCATAACTCTGAATTACTCCTCCTGGCTCTTAAAATGTTCGAGTACGATAATACAACCTCAATCTACCTTTTAAGTCTTAAAAGCATTATTTACAAATGGACGTCACACGGTTTCCTCATACTGAATGTTACCAATTTATTACTCAAAATAACAGTTTTCTTCCTACTAAAGGTAGAAGATCAAGAGAATAAAACATGCAGTGACAAGATTCATCTTGGGAAAAAAAAAAACCAACAACACAGTCGTTAACAGCGATCGGAAACTTTTCGTCTCTGAACCGAAAAAACTCTGGGAGAAGTGTTCCATAATTAAAACACCTTGTTGAGAAGGTCAGATGTCACAGAACGCACCACGAAAAAAGAAAGACAAACATCTTAAACAGGGTTTGGATGAAGTCACTGGTGGAAGAAGTTTAACACTTTTCATGACCACAGCAGCGTTTCTGTGCATTTCAGCTGCCCATACTTAAAACACCTCGGCTGAAAAATGTCAGAAACACACATTTCATGAAACTTTCTGACGTTATTTGAGTTTGATTATCACTGAAACTTTGAGCTGTGTGTTTCTGATGCAGGTCAGTGAACTTAACTCTTAATATTCAGTCTGTAATTCTGACAAGAGAATATGTAACTGGCTGAATCTGTCAGATTATTCAAGTGATTAGAGCTGTTTTTTTTGGGTGGTTGTGCTCTCGGGAACGCTGAACATCGGTCTTGTCTCTATGACAACAGCTGCTGTGTGACAGACACCACTCTGTTACTTTTTATGTTTTTTAAATTTATTTTTTTAGATTTCCCGAGTTTATTTCCCGTTCAGGCACGGAGAAAGTCTTGTCCCGCTGTTGATCAAACATCAGCAGTAAAGTAAAAAGTATGAGCTTGTTATAAAACACACAGAAACGCTGACTCTCTGGGTCCTCAGACTGGATTCCTTTTAAAAATACTGAATGTTGTTTATTTTGCAAAAAGGGTGCATAGGGGATAGAAAAAAATCATCCTCAGTAACCGTACATTAAAATTAAACAGACTCACTCCTGACCGACTACCACTGAACACAAATAGTGACCGTTTCTTATTCCTAACAGGCGAAAACTCACAAACTTTTTTTTTATATAAAACCGAGCAAAGGACCATCATCGTACTTAAAATGCAGCTGCAGGAAAAAAAACAAAAAAAAAAACAAGCTTTCTACAAATGGTTCAGTGGACGTTACATTCAAACAAAAGATCGACTCGGGGTCCGGCTGACATAATGACGGAGAGAACGGGGAGCAGATACTTTTATTTAGCGACCACCTGATTTGCGTCCGGCCCAGGATCGGGACCTGGAGCGCGAACGAGAGCGGGATCTTGATGCGGAGCGGGACCTGGAGCGGGACGGGGAGCGAGTGTGGCGCACTTCTTCCTCTGTGTAATGGGAGGTGGACGCCGGGTTGACGGTCTCTCGGGGAGAGGCGGACTTGGAGCGGGAGCGAGACCTCCCTCTGGACTCTCTACGAGGCCTCTGTCTGTACCTGCGGAAACACCATGAGAACAATGAGTCTATTAAAACACTAACGAGTGAAATCTGCAGTAACGGTTTGAGTTTAGTTATTTTTCTTCAAAAGGTGAAAGAGGGAGATTTAGTACCGGTCGTCCTCGCGGCTCCTGCTTCTTCCTCTTCCGTACGCGCGTCCTCGAGACCTGAAGAGAGAAATTAAAAAAGGTTATTTTTCAAAGAGAAACTTCACAATAAAAGCAACACGAGAATAAAAAAAAAAAAAAACTCACTCTCGAGGACTTTCAGACCGTCTGCGGTGGCGTTCATAAGATTGGCTTCGTGACCTGTAGCTTCGGTCGTAGCTGCGGCTGCGTGAGCGTCTGCGCCGGCCGTCTCGGTCGTAGTCATCGTATCGGGAGGATCTGCTCGGCGACCGTCGCTCCTTCGTTTTCATCTGGTTTGGTGCTGATGTGACGAAACAGCCAAATTATGATAAATTAAATTTTAGAATTGTATATTCACGTCTACAGACTGTTTTCGACGTCTAACCTGTCAATGTTTAATAATATCGTTTTGTATGATATTACTGTTTTTTTTTTTTACAACATTTTCCAAACGACATGCTACCGAGCGTGGGTCCAAGACTAAATTCACTTGATTCAATTGTTTCCAGTGTGAGTGTCCCAACAACCTGCGGGCGATGCTGTGAGAAGGAGGGAGCTCTACAAGACACTGACGGTGTCCAACAAGAAAACTTCTGATTATCTTTCGCTTTTCTCACTCAGCAGAGCTTGTTTTACAGAGTGGATGATTATTAATGTCCACCTATCAATGACGGGAATGTTGTGCTTTGTCTCGCGTCAACGCTAAAGAAGCACTTTGCTCGGCTCACGGCGAGACGTTTACTGATGATCCTTTGGGTGTTGTGAGTTGCGTCAACAGCGCGTCAATACAAAGCACCACACTTTATAACGTTTTACAAGAGAAACTGAAAGCGTAGTAAATATTAAACATGCAGATGTGCTCAGTGAGCATCTGATCGCAAGCGATGCGATATCTAACGCTTGCGTGCTGTTGGACACGGTGTTCAACGGGAGGCTTAAGGCCCGCCTCATACCCAGCTTACTGCACGTTTCTAGGTTGACAGAAAGTTTGTTTGGGACAGCATTTCCAGAAAACGACCGCCATCATTGGCACCCTTCTGAAACAAATGGGTGACGTCACTGAGACTACACCATGTTTCATCCATTTTTAAAGGAACATTTCACCTATAATGATACCAAAGTGTAAACTGTAATCTTAGGTCTACATGATGTGTGCACAGCTGAAACACCAGCAGAGGTCTTTTTGGGGCGGAGGCCAGCATTGCACGTTAAAGACACAATCAGCCGATATCACCGATGTGCTAATATTATAATGCATCCTTACTTCGAGAGAAGTTGACAATATTAATATTTGTGAGGTTTGTAAATAAATGCACAACACTTACTCTTTCTGTCCCCCTGGGCAAACTGGATTTCAATCTGCCGGCCACACACCCACTTCCTGTCCAGGCCGTGAAGAGCGTCTTCTGCGTCACGCACATCCTCAAATGTGCTGGCTGGTTAAGGGTTTTGTTTTCTCTCATGTTTGGTACACAAACTCTAATTCAAAGTTCTGAGTTATTCTTTCTTATCTCAAACAAAGTGAAACATAATTCCCCTCACATAAAATCTTAAAACATAATTTCATTAACACATTACTTTTACAGAATAATTAAAGGGGGATGCAGGACATGTGTGTGGCCTGATTTGAAAAACAAACACTTTAAAATTAGCACAGTATATATATAATAATACAACAGGCAAGAAAAACATAAATAATAGGTGGATTTTTGTAGAGATAAAAGATGAAGCAAGTTTTTCAAACATCAAATCATTGTGTGGGGGATCAGGACTACAAATATGAAAACAAATCAAACACATCAGCAGCTGATTAAAGTGCTTTGATTAACGATTAAAATGTCGACATCACAGGGAAAGCTGATTTTGTTGTCAAATTTGTGGATTTGTCTTGGGAGGATACAAAATAATTCAGACTTGTTACCTTTTGCTTGACTTTGAACTTCATCTTGATCTTTACACTCTTTAATCGACTCCCACAGAGACTTGGGGGTTTTGTTGCTTGCCTTTTCCTCTTTAAACTCTTTTCTTTTCCCAATTCTTTGCCGCCATATCCAAGCTTTGTCTCCGTTCCCTTTTCCTCTTCATGCTTTACTTTCTCTTTTCAACCTTTTCCCTCCCTCTGATCCTGAAGGTCTGTGTGACTTGTCTTTACAGCTACTCTACACAGGTCTTTGTTACTCTTTGTGGCCGGTTTCCACAACGGGGTGCTTTTACATTTTCTGAAGCAATAACAGAGAAATACGTATGTTAGATATTCAATCAAATGATGTGCAAGAAATAAAAGCATGTCTTCTCTGCTGTAGGAAAACATCAGATCAGTGTTAATTGATAATGTTAGCACAAACAGTACACACTCATTGGGAAAGGATATTGAATGTATGCAAATCCTCTTGGCTGACGTGTATAGAAGTCAAGTGGGATGTAGACATCTACTACTGGCCCATAGCGGCCAAACTCACGCCGCAAATCCTCAGGCCTGAACACCGTAAATACAAGTATGACTCATCTGACCATCACTCTGCTGACATCATGAACCAGAAATAGCAGCTGGGAGAGCAGCTCATGAGACGGCTAAGGGAACAGTTCACCCCAAAACACAATACCACTTACCTGGTGATCCGACCGGCTTTAAATTATGAATTCTGTTATTTGTTTAAGTTAGGCTGATGCTCAGGTTGCAGCATACATGTATCACAAAATCCAAGTTTTAGATTGACAGTGAAGTCTGCTGTGTTAATCCCCCCCCCCCTTAAAACTCGTTTTCGTTCCTTTACAGTTCCCATGAAATCAAAACAAATGTTTATTTTATCTAAATGTACTATGGGAGGCAGAGCCTTCAGTTATCAGGCTCCTCTCCTCTGGAATAATCTGCCAGTCAGGGTCCGGGAGGCAGACACACTCTGTACTTTGAAGAATAGACTTTAAATGGTTCTTTCCGATAAAGCTTGAAGTTAGAGCTGGCGCAGGTATGGTATGGACTAGCTCCTAGTTATGCTGCTTTAGGCTTAGACTACCAGGGGAACTGACACCTTAAGCTCCTATCTCTCTCTCTCTCTGTGCATTCACATCATATTACTGCATGTCACTATGTGTAAATCTTTTCCTGGGAGCTCCTGAGCTCTCAGTCTTGTAGGTTTCTTGGGATTGTTGGTGGTGACGGCCTGCTGCTAAGGATCTAAATTGCACAAATATGTCGGCAACATTTCGTTACTGAAAAGTTGCCGATGTATGTGTGGATTTCAGACAGTGGGCAGAGATTTGTCTGCTTTTTTTTGGGTTATTATTTACGAGTAACTAAGCATTATCGGGTGCCTAGGACTTCAATTATTATTGCTGTGGTATCAAAACAGGTATCACTAAATAATTTGAATTTATCTTTTATTCCAAGGTTTCTATTTGTTTGTAAATCATGACAGTGATTGGTTGCAGGCGTGTTGCCACTTCCTATTTAAGATGTCCCGCCCATTTTAACAAACTTTCGCCTGATAACGTTCTAGTATCGAAAACACTGCCTCATCGCTCTGCTGCGCACCCGTCTTATTAAACAGATTTAAACAGGCGAAACAGGTTTTCTATCATATCAAGGTTTGACATCTGGTACTGTGACAAACCTGTTCCCTTTTGTCAACGGCTACAAGATAACATTTAAACCTAACAGCTGTCTGTCAGGTCTTTCAAGGGAACTTAAGGATCATTGTGCCTGATAATTATAATCCCTTAGGACTTCACAGCATGATACATGGATATCACAACCTTCATCAACAAATTGTATTCCTTATTTTGCTCCATCTTTTCTTGTGTTTTGGGGTGAACAGATCTTATATATGAACACTATTTTGTTCAACATGCATTTCAATGTAAAGACCAATAACAGTTCTGTGGCTCCATTCAGGTTAGATTACATTCCTTTGTTTAAGTGTTCACCTTAAACATCCCAGCTTTTAACAAAAACTAAATCTGTTTTTATTTGACGGCATGACTCAATTATTGATCGTGGTAATGTATTGAATACGTTACCACGATGAAGACCAAATGTATTTGTATAACACATGCTTTTCAAACATTCAAACACACTTTAAAATTAGTCATTGAAGTTACAGAAGTTTGGTTTTCTATTTAAATTATGTGTTTAAGATCCCAGAAAGGGAAAGGTTCTTAAATTAGACGAGAGAGCACTGAACTGTGGACACAGTCTTCTCTTACCTACTTTAGCTTGATTATTCATAACTATTTATTTTACCGACTGCACAGCACTTGATTTTTGATTTAATGCACTTTTCTGAACTGTGTGTTGGGACAGTTTCAGTCTCTGGCTCAGTCTGGTTGAAGTACGGTACCTGTTTTTTTTCCTGTATGTCTCTATTTCTGTTGTTGCCTTTTATGTACCTGTCGTGTCTTTTTGCCTGCTGCAGTTCAAACTTCCTTCAGGATAATAATAAAGTTTAAAGTTGAACTCCTAAAAAAAGCATTTATAAACTTTAAATTTTCTCAATGTATTTAGTAATTCTTACAGTTAATGTTACCACTCCTCATACTCATTTTACAAACTGATATGTAATGAGCCTGTGTAGTCTGTATCTAAATATGTATCCTGGTTCAACCAACAGTTACAGTAATAATAAAGTCTTGTTAGCCTAGTTGTTAATCAGCATTTGTTAATGAGGGTAAAGCGATTAATCGCTTTAAGGATCAGAGAAAATCTGCTCGTGATTAAATGAGCTAAATGTTTGTGTTTATATTTTGCATGCTCTGACTAGTTTCTACTTACATTATTGAATTACTTTGCCCTTACTCTGGCAGCTGCCTTCTCCAACCTTCTGATCATCGGGGCTTTATAATAGTTCCTCGTTTAATGTTTTAAATCCAGAGGGGATCGTGCGTCTGCAGTGGCAGCTCCTAAACTCTGACCCAGTCTTTACCATAACCTGTAGTTTCTTTTGAACGGCTGCTAAAAATGAATTTTTATAGGTCAGGATTGAAAAAAGATTGTCTTTTAATTTCACTTGTGTTTGCTGGTTTGTGTTGGCACATGAAAGTTTGTTTGTCCAAGTTGACCTTAGGGCTGGGAAATATATCGAGTTTTTAAGATATATCAATATATTTTCAAACAAAATATAGGCTAAGACAATGTTGTTAATATCTATATAGTTTTTGTTGCATTAAAATAACGTTATAGAGGTGCCAGGTCACCTTTTCCTCATCTCACTGATGATGACTGACTGTCTGTCCCTCTTAACCCTCCTCCTCCTCCTCTCTCTCTCTCTTTATTGTATTTAAGGAACATTTTTATTTTATAATATTACTTTTTAAATTCACAAACAGGTAGTTTTATTTTTCATGTGTTTTCACTGTTAATAAAATACATATCAATATATATCGAGTATCTCCATTCAGCTAAACAATAGAGATATAAGTTTTGGTCCATATCGCCCGGCCCTAGTTGACCTCAATCTGTAATAATGTGGCACACTTTAGGATTGTGTGTTTTAAGCACTACTATAAATTACGTTTATTACATTATTATCCTTGTTAGTCTTAAATACATCTGAGAGTAAAGAGGAGACGTTTTCACATGCAGTTTTGTTCAAACATTTTTCTCCTCTTATGTGGTGTCACCTCACTAGTCCTCTTTAAGCATCTCCCTAATTATACATAAATATATATAAATATATAATATTAAACTAACAGTCATAAAGACACAACAGGTTTTAGTATTTTTCGTTCACATTGATTTAGCAGTTTTTTTTTTACAAAGAGAGAAAGTGACAGATAGAAACTTTATTATAACACTTAAAACTGGGTTCTCCATTCATCATTAAGACTAGTTATTTATTTAATTGTGAGATTTAATTAAAAAAGATTTTTTAAACCTCGACACGTTTTAAAACACCTAGAAACGTTAACATAATTAAATTAAATTAAAGTGACATTAACACAAAAATTAATATCAAATACAATAAAAATATATATAAATATAAAAATGGAAAATATAAAATATTATTTAAAAATTAATAACAAAAAATTCCCCCATGGGGATCAATAAAGTTTTTTTTTTTTTTTTAAACAATAATAACGTTAGTTACTGTTAATTTAAAAAAACACAGACATAATGCATTTAGAGGAAGTTTGTCAAAAAAACAGCAAAAAGATAAAATAAATGTGTATTTATAATAAACTTGTAAAGAATCTAAAACATTCACTTTGAAGCTCAGTTATAAACATGAAAACGTGCACAGGTAACGACACGCAAACAAAGAAACGTTACCCAGGCAGTTTGTCTTCACAGCGACGTGTTTTTGATTTAATTTGTGTTTAAATGAAAGTAAACTGAGTTTCTGTTTATTAAAAATATCACAATTATTAAAGCTGCTCGTTGTTTTTAACGTAACGTGAAGCTACGCCGAGCGGGCTAACATTAGCTAATGAGCTAGCTTAGCCGCCGTAATACGAGTAAGTGAGCCTTAATGGATAATCTGTAATAGTTTCCTGTCAGAATGTGGACTCACCTGGACTCATCGGAGATGTTTCTGACAAACAAAGACGTGTTTGGAGGCCTCATGTATCTGGCCATAAAGTTACACTCACTAAGAAGAAGAAAAATGTGTTTTTTAGGGCAATGGAAAAAAAATCTGCAGCGAAAGAATTTGTGACGCATGCGCACTAAGAAGGCGCCTCCTGGCTCTTCTTCTTCAATAAAAAACAGGCGTGAGAACCAACAGCGCCCCCTGCGTTTAACTCTACCAGCACCTGCAGCCGTCTTCTTTGGATTTTAGCAGCTGGCATCCAAAAAGTTGCATTACTGCCATCTGCTGGATTTAATTATTACTCACATTCCTGAATCCTCCTCAACAAACCTGTTCTCAAGAGATATTTAAACAAGCATCTTCATCCTTTCCTCTCTCCCCACACTCCAAAATACTTCTTACGAGTCCCTCTCTCTCCATTTCTGACATCACATTATGTCTATGTGCTACATACTTTCTACATTTAAGAACTACATGTTCAACTGCTTCTGCTAGATTGCATATCTCACAAAGACCGGATGAATGTTTTCCAATGATATGTCACCTGCAGCCGTGGCTTCCTCAGTTGGTTTATGAAGGCGGTTTGCATCCACAAAGTTGCATCAATGCCTACCTATGGATTTACAGTATTACTGCAGTGTTCTGACTATTAAACCCAGTGGTTCTCAACTGGTGGGGCCGGGACCCAAAAGGGGGTCGTGGAGCCTTTTTCAGTGTGAAGCAAATGTGTACCAAGAAAGAACAGTTGTTTAAAAACTTTTTTTTACTTTTGTTTTTTTTTGTTCTGTTTCTTTGTTCTGTCACTTATTTTGTACAGTCTGACGACAATTAAATTAAACTGATCGGTTGAAAAAAATCTGGAATTTGGATCGCAATTTTTCATTTGGGGTTGGTGGTACATATATGAATAAGTTATAACCATAAAAAAAGGATAAGAATTGAATCTTATCCTTGCAAAAAAAAATATTCATCGTGTTTAGAACCTATAATGTTTTCACAGTTAGGCTAGATCAATTTTCCCCGTTCTTACTAACTTCTTCAAGTTTTAGATCTCATTCTAATGCTTTCTTTCTTTCTTTCTTTCTTTCTTTTAGGCCTCACTATTCCATCCACACTGATTACATTTTTACCACAAAACCTTAAATAATGCCTGCACACAAGGGAGCTGTGTCTATATTTCCTTTTTCCAGATGAGGTCAAACTGAACTACCTAATAAATTCAAAAAAATGTTGTTTCATTTAATCACTCAAGTGTTGTTCATTCAAATGAATTTATTCTTGTATGAAGACTTTGATAATGTTATTTTGAGTTGGATTCTGTCTTGAAGCCGAGGAAGTCGATCAGACCCGTTTGCTTTTGCTGATGAAAGTCACCGAGCCGGCAGTCATGGTCTGAAAAAGAAGGAAAAAATCACATCTTTTTCACACAAAACACACTGTTACCCTCATAAAAAGAACAGACGTTATTTATTTTAAATTAAAAAATCCTCAGACCTCAATCATCTCATTACCGATGATCTCTCGGACAGAGGTGAACTTCTCCGTCTCAGTGATCATCTTCCCATCCTCCTCTCTGACGGTGCACTTATCAACACAAAAAACATGTATCACAAATTAGCTCCCAGCCTTTTTTTATTTCATTTAACTTTATTTATTTTAACAAGAAGTCCAATTGAGATTTTAAAAATCTATTTCAACAGACAGACCATGCCAAGGTAGCAGCGATACCAAATCACAGACACATTAAAACTTCAGCAACACAACATGGGGAACAAATCACAACAAACTGAAAACAAAAACAATCAAAAACTCACAAATATTTCACAAATGGAAAGAACAAGTTACAGCCTCAAACTCCAAGAAGGATTAGACTCCAAAAGCAACAAATTCTTATATCAAGAGTGAACTCAAAACAAAGATAGACTTCCTCATAAATCAGAAAAGACTGGAATTTGCTGAATCAGCATCTTCTATTTTTCTTATGTTCATTTTAAACAGATTGTCAAATCTTAAAGTTCCCCTCGGTCATTATGTCTAAACAAACTTAGATCTTGTCTTCAGTCATTAAAGGAAGTGTGTTTCTTTATTATTTCCTCATTGACCACTTTCTTTTCATTTCATGTAAAGATGTGAAAACATCTGGACAACACACCCGACATGCTCTTAGCTTCAAAATGCACCAAATCAGGAAAGTGCCACAACTACCATCTTTGATTCTTTGCCCATCATTGTCACTCAAGAGTTTGAGACTTTGAATTACCTTAAACTTCCTGCCGTCCACTGCCGTCATCTCCGTCTCCTTCCCGATGGTGAACGAGTGGACTTTGGTGATGACGGGAGTCTTTATCGTGCAGGTGAAGTCTTCGCCCTTCTGCTCGATCACGATCACCGGCTTGTTGTCCTTCCGCATTTTCACTGCGATCGCAGGTGCACCTTGAGGAGATATGTATAAAACAAACTTGATATTCTACTCAAACACAGGAACATGAATGATTTAAATTTGAAACTATTCTTTTTACCAATCACTCTCAAGAAATCCTCGACGTTTTCTTCATAATAAACTTTCCAAGTGCCGTTGAAGTCCATGCCTGAGGTCTGCTTGTGCTGCCTGCCCGAGGATGTTTGTTATTCTTTGTTGTCATAATCACATCTCAAACTTCTGGTTGGCATGTTTGGGACTTCAAACTCCCTGTTATTTGGGCGGAAATTTCCACTTAGCGACACAAAGGTGTAACACCTTTACGCACAGAAATCACAACATTTAACTGCTGCACTTAGGCAATGACATACCTTTTTATTTAATTTCAGACAGGTATTAAAGCTTTTTCTTCATTTGCAGGATTCATGACATTTTTACATTTTGACCTTTTTTTTTTTCTTTCTCAGAATATAAAAATACTTTAACTGGTAAACACAGAAAGCAAATTCACTTTTAGGCAAACTTGCAGGCGGCAAAAAGCTCAGGCAGTTAGTGCTGTGAAGTGCAGACTTGAAAAGATGATCCACCTCTTTGACCTCCAGAAAAACATCTCATTGCATGCTCAGTCACAGGAAACACAGACATGTTGAGCTTCGGTAAACTTGCTGGAATGTTTTTGAAACTCATAATTCAGACACGTACAAAACAGTCACATGACACATGGGTAAGTATGGCAGCTAGTCTTTTTGTTTCTGTTTTAGCTGTAAATACTAGGCTGTGTTGCAGTCCCTGAGAAAACACTGACCAGTCACGCAGCGATGTTAAATACAGTGCTAAGCTAGCTTACTGACCTCAGTCAAACAATATCTGCACTTTGTTCTTAAGTCTTATTTTAACTCTCTTTGGTCCACAGATTTGTGCTTTTCTGAAGATTTGTGCTTTTTCAAGAAACACCCTTCATCATTCTTTTTATCACAAAAGCTGTTCAATTAGTTATTTTACGTGAATATAACAAAATAAATAAGAGTTTAAAACATGTTGTTAGTGATATAGAAAGACTCTTTACTAATAAGGGTATCATCGCTCTAAAGGTCACATATTCTCCTCCTCTTCAACCAGTTTAAATAAGTCTCAGAGCTCCTCAAAACATGTTTGTGAAGTTTCTTGTTCTAAATCCACTTTGATCCTGTATTTGATCATGCCTATAAACCCCTCTATTTCAGCCCTGCTCAGAACAGGCTGTTTCTGTGTCTGTACCTTTAAATATGTAAATGAGCTGTGTCTGACCACGTCCCCTCTCTGGAAGGGCTTGGGTGGCTCGGATTTTCTCTCTCCATGTCCTATTGTGAACAGTGAGAAGGCAGACTCAGAGGTACTAAACAAACACCTAGCTGTGGGAGTGTCACCCACCTGGGGGAGGAGTTACTGCCCTTTGTGATGTCACAAAGGGAAAAGCTCCGAACGGCCTGTTTTTAGCACACATTTTCTGAAAAGTGGAGCAGGTTGGAGAGGATGGACTTTTCTCATCACTGGGGGGGTTTGTAGACAGAGTAGAGACACATATTAGTGTTAGAGAAACATGAAGAATTTTGTATGATATGTGACATTTAAAACTCCTTTTAACTTTTGATTTGTGGTGATTCTGGCGCCCCCTGTGGACAAAGCGGTCTTTGCTGATCTTGTTCTGTGCATATTTAACAAAAAAAAAACATTCTGTATTCTTTTAACAGTGGAAAGCTTCACTCACTGTGAATCTTTGCTGTGGAAAATGTAAATACAGGCTTCTTGTGTAGCGTGCTTTTAGGCACTTAGGCACCAATAAGACCAAAACAGAAATAATCAACCTTCTCAGGGATGGTCACGTTTGCTTTTGTTGGTTTTGAAGAGAGTCAGTATTATTTTTCCTCAAACATTTCTTGGGTATCTTTGGTACTCACTGCCTAATACTCGTGCCCCTTAACAGATTCTTCATACTGTGCTTTGAGCGATTAACTCCACCCATCTGGTGCTTCAAGTCTGTTAAAACAAGTGCTCTCTTTTTTTTTTTTTTTTTTTTAAGATGCAGGTCTGCTTGTTAAGACACTTCTGACACTTAGCTGTAAAAGAATCCTGAACTAGCAAACGCTCATTGTTGCATGCTTTGATAAAAGAAACAATCTTTGCATCAACTCGTATCACAGAAATATGACATTGAAAAAAATAACACTTTTGGCAAAATAAATTCATAAATATTAAACTTTGCTTCAATTCCTTTGACTTTAAACTGACAAACAAACATTAGGAAACATGACGATGTAAACGTGTTTCATCATGAGCGTCCGGATCCGTCCTCTTCCTCTTCCTGGTTTGGTCCGGGGTCGCTAAGGCAGCGCGATAGTTTCTGTTGCTCCTCCTGCTCGTCTGGATCTTTCTCCCTCGTCTTGTCGCCGCCCGTGGACCTCTGCGCCTTGCTCTGATTGGGTCTCTGGGGAGACTCATTCAACAGGCTGACGGCATCATCGGGGCTGGGATGTGGCTGAGCCGTCGGGCCTCTGGGGCTCTCGCTGTCATCATAAGTGAAGACCTGGTTTTCTGTGGTGCAGATACAGAGCAAGGACAGAATGCATAAAAATGGTGCACAAGAAGCAGCTACGTTTAAGAGACTAAATTGACTTGACAGATTTTAGTTTTCCGTTTAAACACACCTGAAAAAGGTGGGGTTGTCTTAAATTCAGGGTCTAGACTTTTAGATGTCAACACACATTCACAACGACAGGCAGAGCTGCTGTGAGTGTGCGGCTCCTGACCGACGCCCGCTGACACCTACAGCTTCAGCTCGTCCTGAGGTCAAGTTAACCGACAACTGAGGAGGAGTTATGATGCTAATTTTATTATCATGGTTATAAATGCAGCATCTTATTTGTGCAAGATCCCTCTATCAGATGGATTAGCTACTGTTTAAGATCTGCAACCGCTCTCCACCCTGCAGACTCGTGCTCTGCAGGTGAAGTTAATCCCAAGAGAGAGAGACTTTCACAAATGAGTCCCCCATGGAACATGGCGCAATGTAAAGGTGAGGGAAGCTCTTTTTAAACGGGAGTTGTTTTGACATATAGGAAAATGAACGGGGTGGGACCCGCCGCTGTGTGTATAGAGAGCGAGAGAGGTGTGTGTGTGTGGACCTGAGAAGTCATTAGACTATTACTGACAAGAATATGCATTTATTTATTTGCATTTTTTTCTACTTTACATCACAAACTACGGTTGGCAAATTAATACGTTTGAATGTTTTTTTTGGAGTGAGGAAACGAATCCATTCATACACATTCATATGCCGCAAACGAAGCAGCTAGAGCAACTTGGGGTTAAGTGTTCTCCCCAAGGACACATCGGACATGTCACTGCAGGAGCTGGGGATCGAACCCTTGACCTTCTGGTTGAGAAACGACCGACTCCAGCACTGAGCCACAGCCGCCTCTTATGTTTCTTCACGCCTTAACAATTATCTTTCCCAATTTTAGCATTTCTATAGGTCATTATGTACAAAATGACTCTGGAGCAGCATAAAACTGAATATTCCTCCAGAACATTTTTATCTCAAACTCGTAGATCTCTCTTGTGTTGTTGTGTGTTCAGTTCGACTGACCTGGTTCAAAGCAGACTTTTCTCACTGAAGGTGTTTCCTGGCGGTTTGCAGGAACTGTGAGGTAGTGACTCATCTGTTTAAAAGACACAAAGGTAGCAGAACAGATAACCATGATCATGATCTTTAGGGTTAGTGAAGGTTTCATTAGACAGAATCACAGCGACCTTGAAACTCACCCTCCTCTCCATCTCCACCCTCTGCTTCCTGAAGCGAACTTCACTCACGTTGTCCTCAAACGGGTCCATGAAGAGGTCGTGTCTGCTGTAAGAACGAAGCTAAAGGAAGGAAACACAAACCGCAGCGTCACCGACAAAATTGTGCTTTTTCAAGAACGACCGCACATCACACTGATTAAACTCTTCCTCTTACCCTCTGTCTGGTCTGCTGCAGGTTTCCTCGCAGAATCTTTCTGATCTCTGCTTCACGACTTTTGGAGATGCTCGGGATCGCTCGACGTCTGCTCGGCCCTTTGGGCTGAATGTTTCTGCGGAGACAAACAGAACACCAACGTGCATCAACGCACCGAATGAGCCTGAAATATTTCTGGAGGGGTTGATCTGCATCCATGTTTTTGCAAAGTCTTCTATTTATTTTAACCTGGCAAAAAATTAAGCTTAAAGTTTTAACCTTTGATCATTTTATCAAAAAGAACCAGAAGATTTATTTTCTAATCAGCCTTTTAACCCCCGGTGACTTTCAGACATTTTAAACTCACTTCAGATCTGTGTTTGTATATATTAAAGGTGTGGTTCATTTTCAAAAAAACAAACAACAAATACATGGATACATATATTTTCTGATTAAAACTGTCAGCGACATGTTGTCCTCCTTCAGTTCTCCATCTCTGAGATTGAATGAAGTAAGGGCACTCACTGCATGGAGACGGAGGACACGATGGCGGGCAGCTTGGCCGTGCTGCCGCTCTCCACCAGCATCATGGCCTGCTTCATCTCCATCTTGTTGTAGAAGGAGATGAGCTGAGGCTCGGTGGAGCGCTCGCCTGAGATCAGCCACCTCTTCACGTAGGCCTTATTGAAGCGGTTCAGCCTGAAGGACAGAAAACACTAAGTATTACTACAGTCAAAACGCTTTTTGTTGCCGCCCTGTCGAACTAGTTTAATGCAAAGGTCAGTGCATTATCGAGCGATGGTGGCTCGGATTTCCAAGTTTTCTGATTTAGATAAATAAATAGATGAGCTACTGAGACATCATAGTTTCTTTAACCGCGATAGTAACAGCAGGACGGACTAAAACGTGTCGTTCTGAAGCACCAATGATGTGCAGCAACACAGAAGAGCGTGCACAGCATCGTATTCCTGTTTAATAAATTTTGCTTCAGTGTTGGGATCAAAGTCAAAGAACACAGACAGCTGAAGAGAGACAGGAAACATAAAGAGGAGAGAGTCGGGGCTGACATGCAGCAAGTAGCAGCTGCAACAACTCAAGGCCTCACGCTAAGCCATATGGCGCACCAAACACATGTTTGTTTCTCCGGCTGCAACCTCCACTGTTTAAAAATAATGAATGCAAGTGAAGAAGTGCAAAATCCTGCAGTTCGTCGAGGGTCTTTGTTTATTTGATGTTATATGAGTACATATCCTCATAATTCCCCTGCAGAGTTTGGGGAACGCATTCAATAGAACACGTGCCAACACCACTGTGAGATGACTTGTTTTTGACTTTTCTCGTAAATAAAACAGAGAATAAAATCATACTTGTCTTTCCAGTGATGATGTCCATAATGTCCACAGACGTCTTCAATCCCTGTGAGGAGATGATCCAGGAACTGAAGACAGAAACGTTATCTCCATGATGGTAAATGAAACAGCAACAACGCTTATGTCTATATCTTTTCTGTCCTTCATTTTCCTCCTCTCATCTCAGCTAAACCCTGGAATAAATCCTGATCGATCTCACCTGTGTGTGAATCTCTTCATTTATCGATCCTTTGCTCTCCTTCTTCTTCTTCACCGCCAGAAGCTCCACCAGAGGTTGGATCGTCATTCCCTGAACGCAGAAACAGGAGGGAGGTCACGGTGAGACAAAACAGCTTGACATGAAACACTGTTGGAAGATTGACTCGTTTCTGATTTCACAACACAAAGTAAGTTGCAACCAAACGGATTTATAAGAGTTGTAGTTCCAGTAGGTGTCCACTAGAGGTCGATAAACTGGATACTGCTCCCTGCATGTATTACCTGCTTTAGTATAAAATAAGAAATACAAACATCTGGCTGCTCATTTGTCCATCTGGAAATAATGCAGTGGTCGGTCTTTGAATCTCTCTTGTTTTATTCATTTTCTTTGAGATGATGTTGGAGTTTCCTCTTTCTGATGCATGA